GAGACCATAATAAATCTGCTTGCAGACTCATTTCAAAAGCCTATCAGTGAGTGGCAAGTGAAAACAAGCTCCCACTGATTCTGCATTATGGTGAGTTGTATAATTATTTCATTATATATCAGAATGTAATAATAACAGAAATAACAATAAAGTAGAAATAAATAATAGAAATAATAATAAAATGCACAATAAATGTACTGTGCTTGAATCATCCCGAAACCATCCCCCCACCCCCCCAAGCCCTGGTCCGGGGAAAAACTGTCTTCCACGAAACCGGTCCCTGGTGCCAAAAAGGTTGGGGATCGCTGCTCTGTGAGATGTTTAAAATAACAGCATAAAAAAGAAACATATACTTTTATATATAAAGGAAATGATGTTATCTGGCAATTTGCTCTCCAGAAAACACTAGAAAGTCAATATTCAGTAAGTATTAACTGAATGCCTGTTATTGCCGGACAAGACAGAGTGACTTTTCGTGTTAGTTTACACTGCTCCTTGTTGACTTAAGACTAATAAAGTAGATTTGAAGACAAAGAATATTCCTGGAAAATAAAGAGGGATATTTCATAATGACAGGGAGGTCAGTTTATCAAGAGTATACAACAATCAAAAATGGGTGTGCAAATAATAACAGAGCTTCAAAATACATGAAGCAAAAATTGAGAATTCAAAGGACAAAGAATAATTCCAATTTATACCTGGAGATTTTAATACTCCTCTCTCAGCATGTAACAGACTGCCCCCCCACCCGCCTGCCAATTTTTAGTAAAGTCATAGAAGATCTGAACAACCCTGTCAGCCACCTGGACCTATATCAATATTTATAGAACACTGTGTGCAATAACTAAAGAATATCACTCTTTTCAAGAGCACATGGTAAGTTCACCAAGATGATCATTTTCTGGGCCATAAAGCACAAAGTCTGAGAAATGATTACATCTAGTAAGGCTCATACTTTGCTGGTACACATCGTGTTTTTTAAAAATTTTTACACACAAAACATTATTTATGTTCTTAAGTTTGATAAGGCAAATCATCAACTTCAAAAGCCTGAAATTTTGTTAAGAAAATCTGTTCTCTGTAGAATTAGCAAGTACAGTGGATGGCAAGTCAAGACGTGGGCACTGCTTTAGGGATCAAACCTTTATGATATAATTATATTCACAGCACATTTTAGAAAACTTGAAATACTCTACCATAGAAACTCCAGCTGTGGCCAGCTAATTGCAACTGCACTTTGTTAAACCAACGACTGTTAATATTTCAGTGCAGTAAGATCAATAGTGCAATAATTTTTTAAAAAATTGGTAGCATTTGAACACTTGTTAGGAGTTAGATTCTACTGTGGGAGAAGAGAAAGGAGAACGGAGACTCAGGAACAAGGTCATGTGAAGGTGGCTCATTTCTCAGTCTCCTGGTGAGGTTACCTACGGGCCGTGTTTCCTATGACACCAACGGGGCTGGGCTTCCTGCTAAGGCCTGCACAGAAGCTCTTGTGTTCTGCCAGAACAGACAAGGCAGCTTCACATTGGGGGAGGAGCCTGCCGAACTACATTCAACTCCTGCGTGGCCCCAACAGGCTCCACAATGACCAACTCCACTGACCGCCCCGTAGCGTGTAGTGTAGATAAAGAGAAGTGGCAACAGACTTTCTCAGCTTCAGCTTTGTCTGGCGTGCAGGGTTCAAAGAGCTTTCTTTTAAATTGGAGTATAATTGCTTTACAACGTTACGTTAGTTTCTGCTGCACAATGAAGTGAATCAGCTACAGGTATACATATATCCTCTCCTGCTTGGACCTCCCTCCCACGCCCCCCATCCCACCCATCTAGGTCACCAGTGAGCACCAAGCTGCGCTCCCTGTGCTATACAGCAGGTTCCCACTAGCTATCTGTTTTACACATGGTAGTGCATTTATGTCAATCCTAACCTCCCAATTCATCCCACTCCCCTTTCCCCATCCCCTGTGTCCGCACGCCCGTCCTCTACTTCTGTGCAGATGGACCTAGAGACTGTCATACAGAGTGAAGTAAGTCAGAAAGAGAAAAACAAATACTGTATATTAATGCACGTATGTGGAATCTAGAAAAATGGTATGGATGAACCTCTTTGCGGGGCAGGAATAGAGACCCAAAGAGCTTTGTGGTTGGCATCATGCATTTCGGCTTCTTTCACAGCCTCAGGATAAAGCCACATGGAAAGTTTCCTGTCTTCACAGTGCACGCCTCTTTCCACAACTTACCTCATTGTTCTCCTCGGCTGTGTTTGCAGTGAGAGGTCTACACGACCCTCATCATTTTAAGGAGGATAACATCAAGACACAGACTCTTCAGGAAGTAACAACTCCAGGAGAGTGAGATCGCCAATAAGCACGGGCAGTGAATCCAGGGGTGCAAGGCCACCAATACGTGTGAACTTACTCATCATAATTATTATTTTTTCTAAGAAAAGGATTTCCTCAGTCAAACCTCCAGGGCATCGGATCAAAGAGAGATACTGACACAGCTGGACTATATTTTCTAGCCAATTGGCCTGGAAAGGAGAATCTAGACAGTGTCCTGGCAACCGTTTAACACGGCAGCAATCCATAAAAGAGGGAAAAAGAACTCTGTAGACCGACTTTTTAAAAAGCCTTCTTTTGCTCTTTTTTTTTTGGCCGTACGCGGGCCTCTCACTGTTGTGGCCTCTCCCGTTGCGGAGCACAGGCTCCGGACGCGCAGGCCCAGCGGCCATGGCGCACGGGCCCAGCCGCTACGCGGCATGTGGGATCCTCCTGGACCGGGGCACGAACCCGTGTCCCCTGTATCGGCAGGCGGACTCTCAACCACTGCGCCACCAGGGAAGCCCCTTTTGCTTCTTTATTTCTCTTTATTTATAAGGACAGTTTGGGGGTAATATCCAAGCTCTAGGGGCTGTCCAGGGTAGGCACTCTGGAAGAATTACTGACCCTGAGAATGCAGAGCATTCTTCTATAGACAGAAACTAAAGGTTTTAGTCCACACTACAGGTTTTTTTTTAAGACTATATACTTTAACTTATTATAAAAAGTATATCCCAGATACCCTACTGGCAGGGTATCTGACCAATTTTCTATTTCCAGTTTGATGTAAGTCACTATAAACCTTACCAGGACACTGTAAAATCATGCTAGACAGAGTAGTTTATAAATAAAATAACAACAGGAGAAATTTATCAATAGTTACATGCCCTGGAAGTTCTCCCAAAAATGCATAAAAGAAATTATGAAAGTGACTATTAACACACAACAAGAAAAAAAAGCCACAAACCCCAAACCCCACTATGTCAGAAGCATAGCAATACACACAGGAATCAGGTGAAATGAGAAGGCAGAGAGCACACCAAGGATTTAGTGAATTACAGAGAAACAAGGCGTGAGATGATTGTGTGAAAAAAAGTGACGGCAAACAAACAGAACGCGTGTCTGTAGTTAAGGAGAGCCGTTTCTCACCGTGCTGAACAAATGGCTGCCCTAGGAGCACGTGGACGGCTATGCCCATATGCCCTCCTCCTCGTCCTACGGGACGGCAGAGACCCCAGAGCAGCGTGGGAACGAAAAGAGCTGGTTAGTATTCAAAACAGAGACACAAGCACACTGTAGCAGCAGCAAACAGTCTCTAACCTCCTGACCCTTTTTACATCAGGCTCTGACTCGTAATTAGTTTGTCACTGTAATTCCAGTCTTCCGACCTCTCCGAGACGCTCTCTCTATCCACTGCTGGATCTGGGCAACATTATCAAGTGGGAGGCTTTTCTTTATTTTTTGCCTTTTCCTCAACCCTTCCCCATTCCTGTTTGCCTCCCACTACTGCAAGGTATCCAATTCCTTGTATGTATTAGCGAAACCTGTTGCAAGGAAAGGATCTAATACTCATCTTATATACACTGGCATAAACTTAATGCCAGGTATCCAGAAGCAGGCAGAACAAGCAAAATGATGTCTTGGCAGAGGGACAGACTGCTGACATCAAGGCAGACAGTTCTCCATTCTGCCCATGTCTAAGGTTGCACTGTTTTCCCTCTAAAATATAAGGCCTGCCTCAACTGGCTAAGAATATGTCATCAAACCATGACTATACCTTCTGAATCTTAGAAAAAAATTGCATTTTCAATATTATTGCTGCTTTCACCTGCAATATTTCTTTTTCTTCCCCTAAGACAAAGCTATGCTATCATTTGGAGGAGATGCTCAGTGGGGGAGTTTTCCTTGACTCTTTAGTCATATGGATGTAATTACTTAACTGTTATTTTTCTCCCTCAGCTGTATATTTTAAGATTGAGTGTGATGGAGATGTTGAAATCTGACTTTTGGCAATGGGATATGAGGTAATCTGTTCACTACTCTCCCCCATCCATCACATTCAAGATCTTGGGAGAGTTTCCTTCTTCCAAAAACACTGGCATTGAATATGGTTCCCCTTCAGGCTGACTCATCACTGCCTCTTTTGCACTGATGAGAAGTTGAAGGCAACAATTTAAGAATGACATAGATGGAGGGATCCACCAAGGGAATGGGAGCGAAGAAACTAAGTTTCAATCTTCACGTCTACTAGGTGATGAGCAGAGATCTTAAAATTTGCAGTTAAATAATATTCAATAGTTATTACCGTTACACTGCACTGTGCGTGCCTCACTGAGCTTACAAGGAGAGTTTTGTTTTTCTACTGAGGCACTGTTTCTTAAATAAGAAAAGCAGGACAGTTACAAATTAGCGAGTATCTCTGAGAAGATTAATTTTTTTTTCTCATCTCAAGGATTCTTTAGTGCCCTCAAATCTACTGAGTATCTCCTCTTAAAATATTCAGAATCATGTACCACCTTCCTCTACAGAAACTGACTCTGTGTTTAAAAAAAAAAAAAAGTTTCCAGAAACTGATTATTTTTATTTTTCTAACTTGTACCCCAGAATCTGTAATCTGCTAGTAAAAAATACATCAAAATAAAAGCATACTGGTTTTCACAAGACAATCAAAAGCAGTCTTACCTGGTCTGGGGAGGGTTTATGATTGGTTTGACTGGAATGGGAGGATCTGAAGTGGTCATCCTCATAATTGTCGGCCATGAGCTTCATTCGATTTTGTGTCTAAGAGGAAATGATGCATAAGGTTAAATTGAGGTAAAATTTCTGTGACACACTGCAAAGTAACAAGTGCCTTAAGAATGTCCTAAGAAAGGATAAAACAAATCCTGTCTGAAATAAAATAAGTTAAACATAGGATTTCTGAGGATATTGGGGAAAGAAAGTTTAGACACTATTATGGACTGAACTGGGTCCCCTCAAAGTTCATGTTGAGGCCCTGACCCCCAAGCCGACTGTGTCTGCAGACAGCCTTTAGGGGATAAGTTAGGGTTCAGTGAGGTCATAAGGTGGGGCCCTAATCTGATGGGACTGCGGCCCTGTAAGAAGAGGAAGCGGGAGATGAGTCCCCCTGCCGCATGGGGACACGGTGAGGAGGAGGCCTCCGTGAGCCAGGAAGAGAGCTCTCCCAGGAACCAAGGCAGCTGGCACCTTGATCTGGGACTTCCCAGCCTCCAGAATGGTGAGAAAATAAATTTCTGTCGTTTAAGTCACTCAGTCTATGGTATTTTGTTATGGCAGCCCAAGCAGGCTAAGACAAGCGCCTAAATTTACACAGGAATTTTGGAGGGAGGAGAAATCTCCCTAAATTAAGCACTTTATTGCAGTGCTTGTTTTTATTTTTTAAAGTAAAGACTGGATTATACTACATATAGGATAGAACTCTGCTAACTCTATCTTTTCACTTCATGATATCAATATACAGGACCCATCTTTCCAGGTTACCATAAAATTACTCACCCTTTTTAACAACTGTTCCATTTGGGGGGGATGTTATATAACATACAGACCATAAATATTGGGGGAAAAGTTATCATTATCTGTAAATGAAATCATTATATACCTAGAAAATCCAAGAGAATCAATTGAAAAACGATTACAATTTACAATAAAGTTCAGCAAGGTGATCAGACAGAAGCTATATATTAAAATTCAATAGCTTTTCTTTACACCACCAATAAGCAATTCAGGTTTTGGAAATGAATTGAGGATTCTGAAATCCTTCTCTTCAACCCTAGACCAGAAGAGGATTATTATCCATCCCACTGCCTCTTCTCCACGCTCACCAAAATGGAGGACCGGACTGGTAATTCTGTGTGCTTGGTTAATTTAAAACCCAGCTGAATGTAATATATATATATAGGTATAAAACACCGTAGAGAATTCCCTTTGCAGAGCAAGCAAGTCAGAAAATGCACGGTACAAACGCTACGCATAAAATCAAACAGCAATATTGTTAAGACCTGAAGTTTTAAAAGCATTAAAAATACATTTGCTGGGCTTCCCTGGTGGCGCAGTGCTTGAGAGTCCGCCTGCCGATGCAGGAGACGCGGGTTCGTGCCCTGTTTCGGGAAGATCCCACATGCCGCGGAGCGGCTGGGCCCGTGAGCCATGGCCGCTGAGCCTGCGCGTCCGGAGCCTGTGCTCCGCAAATGGAAGAGGCCACGGCAGTGAGAGGCCCGCATAACGCAAGGAAAAAAAAAAAATACATTTGCTAACATTATATGATTCAAAAATGTTCACTGTGGATAATCTAAAACACAAAAAGAAAAAAAGAAAAAGAAAAATTACCTGTAAATCCCTCTAACCAGTGATAATCATTGTTAATACTTAGGTGCACCTGTTCAGCCTCTTCCCTATGAACAAAAAAACTGGCATATGCTGTTCCGATTTATTCTCTATTTCTGCTACGATACGGTATTTTTTAAATCGCTGTATCTTATGGTATATTTTGACATCTGGTAGGACACGTTGTCCTTCTCTACCAGTTCTGCTTTGTCAAAATCTGACTGGGTATCTTTGACACATTTTCTTTTCTAGATGAATTTAAAACATTTTGTCTAGTTCCATAAAGAAGTTTACAGATTTTTCTTTGGTATTTTTTCACATAATGATGCCTGAGCAAGGGTAGGGCCAAAGTGCCTGGGCCTGAATTCCAGTTCTGCCTCTTACCAGCTATAGCTCAGCTGGCGCAAGCTGCTCGGAGCCTCAATTTCCTCACCTTTAAAATGAGAATAACAATACCTTCTCCCCGTAAGACTGTTGTTAGGATTAACCGAGTTAATACAAGCTCTCAGAAAGGTGCGTGGCATACAATCAAGACCCAGTAAATTTCAGCTATCACCATCTTTATGAACATTTCTTTTCATGTCATTAAGTATTACTCTAAAACCTCATTTTAACTGGCTGCATAGTATTCAGTTGAATAGATGTTTAACGAGTCCCACATTGCTGGGCATTTGGGCTCTTTACATTTTCACCTAGTAATATATGTACATTTCTAAGCCAGTTCCTCCCACCAGGATATGACAGCAGAGAAAATACTTATCAAGAAATTGTCTGTGATATCAAATTTCTCTTTTCTGAGATGACTTACAGGGACCTTGAAAATATGTAGAGCACTGTTTCTTATGTCAAGCCGTACTTAGGACAAATGGAGAGTCGTCTGCAAGGCAGCTCTGGGGAAGCGTGAGGGAGAGATCAAAGGGCAAAGGGGCGCACCGGAAAGTGACAACATGCTGCACCTCACCCACTTCCACGTGGGTAAGAAACATTTCCCCGTGGACTTTAATAGGACCCTGCAGCAAAAGTACACTTGGATAGTTATTATCTTAGAACATGACACGCAGTCTTTAATGCCTGATACCTAGTGTGAGTTTAAAAACTTAGAGAAGAACTAATAAAGCACATGCAAATCCACTTTCAAGGCAGGATGTATCTCAAGTATGTCTCAGGAATGAGAATGAAAGCCTCGCACAAGAACTGATCACAGGAGACAGATAAGACCACAGGTTACTTATGTGATCCATGTAAGCGAATGAAGAAATAGTCCTAAGAACGTCTCCATTTCTGAAAGACATGAGGTTTATCAAAGTTTAGCTAGTGTTCCCAGGTCAAATATTCATTAATTTGGTGTGAAGTCTGTTTCCTGCACAGTCAGAAGTTGAGCACTAAGTATCTGACAGCTCGCAGAGCCGTAGATATTATACAGATCATATAAACGACACTCCGCTCAAGAATCTCTTGTTCTCCGCTCTTCTTAAGATTAAGACCAGCAAGCACGGAAGGTACTTTATATCCAAACATTTTCCCGCTTGAACCATGCCACGTGCATGTGCAGGCAGCCGAACTCCCACGGTCCCATGACATGAAGAATAAAGTTGTTTGAAGGAAGGAAGGAGAAAAAAAAAAAGGACAGGAGGAAACTTGCTGAGATAAACTCTTTAAGCTGTAAACGCATATCTGTGTATATAGGGATACATACCCTCCCAGAGGAAAAGTTCATCGTTTATTCTGTTAATCTTTTCTTTTGGACTAAGATGTCAATGCTCAAAAAAGGTGGTACAGAAACTCTATATTTCACAGAAAAATACTTAGTTAGGCTAAGAAACAGTATATGTTGGTTATTCAAACCCAGGTATTAAAAGAAAAGGTTGGAATTCTGATCAGAGTTACCTGGTTATTCACTAATCTTTCCTTTTTGGTTTCTGATAACGCTATTAACCTACCTAAGTGAGTTTTAGAAATAATACTACTTAGAAATATTCTGCGATATTTTAGAAAACATATCAGATATAAGTCTTAACCTAACTAGCATTATTTCCAATTATAATTATCTTTAAGAAAGCATTAAAATTATTTCTGCCTACATTTGTTAAACTTTGGAAATCATTTTATTGTAGTGAATTTTAATTAAACTTTAATTTGCTATTTTGGTATTTGATATACAAAATGAGAAAAGCATAATCTTCATCGTTTTCAGGTGGGTCAGACTCTGTTGGTTATAAACTTAGCAAAACTTCAACAAATTACCTATGAGCTTTATTTTAAACTTCATTTCATGAAAAAGTATAAGTAGTCATTAATTATTCTTTTTTTTTTTTTTTTTTTTTTTTTT